TTCGAATAGAAATCAATCAGAAGAGAATCTTCGAAAACTCATCAAATCCGATGATGTTTCCTTTGATTCCAACATTCAAAATCGAAACTGGTCGAATCTTGATTTCGAAGAGTATTACAAGGTAGAATCCATGGATCTCAAAAAAGTTTCTTGCTTTCTAAAGAAAACAACATTGTAATTGTCTTGTTGTGATGTTTTGTAGGAGCAAAAGATAGTGAAAGCAGAAGAGTGGGATTCGTTCATCGAGATTCTTCTTAAGCCATTACCTGCTGCTTTCAGAGTTAATTCCAAGTATGCTTTTAGATTTCAAAGATTGTACTTCAAAAGTAATAGTTTTGACTAAAATGTTGGAGATTTTCTGATTCTTTAGTGGCCAATTTTGCGATGAGATTCGGTCTATATTGGAGAATGATTTCGTGAAATCTCTTCAAGCTGAGGTAAAATTCATTGATAATCTACATAAAGAAGCTAATTTTGTATTCTAAAATGTTGGGTTTTTTTTTTATCTCTCTTGATTAAGGCTATAGAGAGTGGTGAATTGGAGGGTATCAAGCCATTACCTTGGTACCCTAAGAATCTTGCTTGGCATTCTAATTTTTCAAGAAAGGAGATTAGAAAAAACCAGACACTTGAGAGGTACATTTTTCAAAAAGATTAAAACAATGGTGGTGGTTCTGTTTTTCATGCATATTTGTGTTAGTTCATGCTCTCTTCTAATTATTTTACTTCTTTTTTTATCGGGGTTTTAATTCAGGTTTCATGAGTTTCTAAAGTTAGAAACTGAAGTTGGGAACATGACAAGGCAAGAAGCAGTTAGCATGGTATGGTACTAGTACTAGTGTAACACCTCTTTAATCGCGTTCATCGATAATATTTCATAGTTTCTTTTGTCGGTTTTTATGATCAAGTAGGTACCTCCTCTCTTCCTTGATGTGCATTCAGATCATTTTGTCCTCGACAGTGAGTGATTTTTTATTCAACATTGTTTGGGATGTCTATGAACTTGAGAAGTAATAGTTAACTGATTCACTTCTCTTCACTTTTGTCTTAACAGTGTGTGCTGCACCTGGTTCTAAGACATTTCAGCTTCTTGAAATAATACATGAATCATCAGAACAAGGATCTCTACCTAATGGAATGGTTTGTAATAATACACTCATTTTTGGTTGATTAAGACAAATTTCTCTCTTTTTTCTCTAATTGTTTTGGTTTGAATCAGGTGGTGGCGAATGATGTTGATTATAAAAGATCTAACCTTCTTATTCACCAAACGAAAAGAACGTGTACGACTAACTTGATAGTCACTAACAATGAAGGTCAACATTTCCCTAACTGCTCGAAGAGAACCTCGTTCATAGATCACATTGATCAGCTTCTCTTTGACCGTGTCTTATGCGATGTCCCATGTAGTGGTGATGGTACTCTGCGCAAGGCTCCAGGCATATGGAGAAGATGGTTATTAAACTTTTGACCTTCCATATTGATTCCAATTGCTTCAAGATTCTTACTCTCTTTCTTTGGTCTGTCCATAGGAATTCTGGATCAGGTAATGGACTTCATAGTCTACAAGTTGTGCTTGCCATGAGAGGTAAGCTTTTTCTCTCAGATGATGACCCGAATCGCAGAATCTTATGTCTTGAATTTACTATGCATTGTCTGGTTTCAGGTTTATCTCTACTAAAAGTTGGTGGGAGAATGATTTACTCAACTTGCTCAATGAATCCAATCGAAAATGAAGCTGTTGTTGCTGAAGTAATTTCTCGGTTTCTTTCTTATTTCTCCGTAAACATGATTCTTCTTGATACTGATATATTGTTAGTATTTCTTCAGATTCTGAGGAGGTGTGGATGCTCTGTTGAGCTTGTAGATGTCTCAGATAAGTTTCCCGAGCTTATTCGAAGACCAGGTCTTAAGAAATGGAAGGTAACTTAAAATTTTCTATTACTTTGAAGCAAAGAGAAACAGTAATGGAAATTTTTAATCTTGTTTGTTTCTGTGTGGATTCAGGTGCATGATAAAGAGGGCTGGTACAGATCTTACAAAGATGTTCCAAAGTCGCAGAGAGACGGAGTTCTTAGGAGCATGTTTCCTTCTGGTAAAAGCGATAAAGACTCAACAGTTAGCGGAAACAGCTATGAAGAAAAGGATTCTATCTCTTCGGATGAATCAACCGAGGAAGTTTGTGATCTTCCCCTTGAACGCTGTATGAGGATACTACCTCATGATCAGAACACCGGAGGATTTTTCATCGCAGTCTTTCAAAAAGCTTCAACTTTACCAGGTGAAAATGGTTGAAATTTCTTGTGCATCAAAACATTTTTAATCAATTCTTAAATAGGACTTATCGTTCAATTTTCTTGCAGAGCCTCGGGAGAAACCAAATCAGAGAAAGAACTTGTCTACTAGAAACAATGACTCATCTGAAAAGTCTCTAGATAAACCTGAAGAAGGTGCAATATCGTTAGAGAATGGCTTAAAGCCTAATAAAGAAAGCATCAGCGAAGAAGGCATCGTAAACTTGGTTCAAGACCAAGAACCACTGATGCGAGGGAAGTGGAAAGGCCTTGACCCTGTTGTTTTCTTGAGAGATGAAACAGTGATTGAAGGGATCAAGGCATTTTACGGTATCAAAGACGAATCTTTTCCTCTGTATGGTCATCTCGTGACTAGAAACAGCGATACAAGCAGCAAAGGCAACGTGAAGAGGATTTACTATGTTTCAAGATCGGTTAAGGATGTTCTTGAGCTTAATTTCGCGGTTGGTAAGCAGCTTAAGATCGCATCAGTTGGCCTCAAGATGTTTGTAAGCACAACATATTCTTCATTTTCTCTCGATTCAAATACCAAATGCGGGTTTTGTTAAATTTCTTAACTAACCAAAACTCGTGCAGGAGAAACAATCGGCAAGAGAGTGTGAAGCCAATTCTTGCTCATTCCGCATAACGTCAGAAGGATTGCCTGTGATCCTTCCGTACATGACCAAGCAAATACTTTACGCAACCATAGCGTATTTCAAGAACCTCTTGCAATACAAATCAATCAAGCTCCAAGATTTCGTCAATACGCAGTTTGGTCAGAACGCATCAGAACTAGCCATGGGATGTTGCGTGGTGGTTCTTGTCGACGGTATGTATCTAAATAGTTGTATATAAGATACATTTGACCATATAATATATAGTTTTAACGGTTTTCGGCTTCTTACAGGAACAGAGCAGCTCGCTTTAGAAGAACGAGTTAAAGTGAATTCGTCGGCAGTTGCCATTGGATGCTGGAAGGGAAAAGCTAGCTTAACCGTTATGGTCACCACAATGGATTGCCAAGAACTTAACCAGAGGGTTTCTGGTGAAAAAATGTCTATGGTCCTCAACGCTAGCTATGGAGACAACTTGATCTTGTAATAGTCAATGTTTTTTTTTTTTGGGGTCAAAGTCAATGTTTGTTATTTTTAAGAATTGTAGCATTATCTTCAATCTTTAGATGATTGATGGCAAAAAAATATTTTAAAGTATTTGGAAAAAATCCAAGGATGTTATTTGTTGATGTATTTTAACTTATTTGAGAATTTTTATAGAATTTTTATAGAATTTACAAAATCTATGTAAGTTGTA